TATTTCTGTACACAGCAGAGATGCTTTATACTGTCAGTACTCTGCTGTACACATGGCAATCCATACAAAGATATCATCACAAAGCTTATATCTAATTTAGTATTCTTACATTCTTAAAGGTGTATGGTATAAAAGATGTAACGTATCTATTCCTACAGAAGGTAAACTGTTAGTATAAGAATTCTGCATCAAACTTTAATTTCAAGAGTTAAATGTTTTTCTTCATAATTCATGATGTAGTTTTCTCCCCGGGAATAGTGAAATCATTAATCAAATGCAACATGCATTACAATAAAACAATTTTCTAAATCATGAATACAGCGGAGAATTAATAAGACCTTTTCTGCAGATGAATGTCTACTAAATATGAAATTATAAAAATATCCTGATGCTTCATTGGTGTGGATATTGTTATATTGAAGAAGAAATAAAAACATATCTGTCAGAACCAAAATCTATGTATTTAATCAGGAAGTGGACAGAGTAAAACCTAATTGAGTCTTGTCATTTAGTGTGTGAATATATAATCCAGTGATGAACTTTTAACAAAGGCATGCTTGTGGCATTCAGTACAGCACACCCTCAGCACTGCAGGCCACAGCAGCTGCCTAATAATACCTGAGTAATTGTAGATTAAACTCATTAACTCCTTTCATAGCCAGTTCTGCAATGGTTGTAACAAGGTTCTTGTTTTTATACTTTGTACGCAGAGTTAAATATAGTTTTGTTTGTATTAAAGAAACTAAAATATCAAAAAAAGTTGCAAAAATAATAAAGCTACTGATGGGTACATTTAGAATTAATAAATTATCTTTTTTATTATTCATCCTTGTTTTTCTTTATCCAGAGACTTAAAAGCATTGCAACTTAAAAAGGAGGTGACTCATTAAAGTCAGACTTAACAATTAGATTTACTTAAGCGGTTTTAATACAATAGAGACAAAAGTGGACCCTCTGAAGTGGAACAAGATAAAAAAAATCAAATGTTTTTAGGTACAACACTGATTTTGTACTAGAGAGAAGACAAAAAGGAAAAGCTATGTTTGACCAAAAAACAGTGTGCACATAATGTATCTATCAGTGTATTTACACTAAAAAAGTTCTTCTGTCTGCTCATTGGTTTGGACCAAAAGCACTTTTTTTTTTTTCCTTCAGTCGACATGTGCTTTCCAACAGTGTTTCCTTAGAGCCACACTCTAGTGTGTGAGTAAATTAGAACTTTTAACAAAGCCACACATGACTATCATTGGAAAACTGTCATGGAAGTCCTGGGTTTGGAGTTCTGTGCTGCATGCTGGTGTTGGTAGTGCAGCTGCAACACCAGATGACTTTCCTAATGTAATTACAACAGAAATGCCTTCTTAGTACGGAATCAAATTATTGTTTTTTTTTGTTGTTTTTTTTTCAATGCTAAAATCATTAGTAATAACCATAATAAATTTGTTTGTTGCATTTATTAATTTACTTGACTAATAATTGAAAACTTTGTTTGATAATTATAATGAGAAGAAATTTAATTCTTAATGCACTTTACATAAAATCAGCAACATAAAATAGAATATAAAAACATTTACTATGCTTTTCAAAAAAAAGTAATTTCCTTTTAAAACATCTATTGTCTGTGGGGCTATGAGATGGTCTGGGCCAGAGCCTCCCATCCTGTAAAGGCTCTATCCCCTGTCCTTTGGAACTGTGTCCTGTGCTGGACCACAGTGTTGTTGGCCTGAACAGGTCCGATGTTCTGTCAGAACCTAAATGAATTCTGAGTCACTATATAAAGCACATCAGATGTTTTCTATGATTTTATACATGAAAACAAAATCTAACCAAATTTAAATTCCCACACACATATTTTTCTACTACTAAAGTAAATTATTTTAAATTAATATACACTAATACGGTTTTAGGTATAGATGCTTCTTCACTCAACATCCCAGAAACTTCAATCATGTCGGGCCGTTTCTACATCTAAGAAATGACAGTATTATCAAAGCTGATTTTCTTTTTTTTAAAGTTAAAATAAATGTGTTTTTGCTTGGTGGAACACTGCTGCTAAAATTTAATGTGGGAATAAGTCTCTGTTGTGCATGTGCATGCATGCGTATTAGAGCAATATATGCCAATCTGCTAGCATATGCTGTTCTGACAGAACAACAGGCTGATGTTTGGGGTGATAGCAGTACAGCAGTTCAACTGTATTCATGGTCAAAATTTTTCTTTTTTAGAATGCATATTTATAATTCAACTTGAGTACTAAAATGCATCTTTAAGAGAATTGCTAGGGAATTGTAAATTCATAGTCTATTTTGCTTCTCCAACATCAAGTCTCCAGAGGTTTACAGAATTAAATTTGTAATGGCTCCAGAAAGAAGATGTTGTGGGTCAAAAGGCATTTTTAATTCTTTATTTTTTATTTTCATTTTTTTACCCAATCATATTATTACCTCCATTTGACTTCGTTGTTCTGGTGTGTATGATGAGGCTTGTTTTGTGGACTTTCAGAAGCATATCAAAGGTCTATGAGCATCCGTTTCACATTGCAAACTTGCTGATTCAGTGCCAGGAGGATGACATGAAAGATGAAGCTTTTATAGTGGTTTGTTCTCTTGAGACAACCATCTCTGAGTGAGATGTTGTTATGGAGAACTGAGGCAGAGCCACATATCATCAGCTCAGGTCATAAACTGCAGATGTTTATCTGTTTCATGATGTATAGGGTTGTCACCTGAACAAGCTCTGGTGGTTAGTATTTGGTAGATGAGCCTTCACTTTACCTAAGAAGAAGTGGAAAAAAAGTGAGTGGGTATTCAGGAGGAGCTAAAATATAATATGCTGCTTTTCAAAAGGGTTTTAATAATAACAATAACTCAAATTTATAGTGCGTATTTGAATTTATCATTTAAACTTTTTGATGTTAATAGTTATCAAACTGGGCTAAAACGATAAATGTCTCTTTACAATTACAGAGTTATATTTTCCCCTGTTGATCGCTATCAGTATTGAAAATATGTTTTATTAGTCTTGTGATTCCATTTTTACTTTCAAAAATGTTGTTTTTGATATACTGTGTCCTTTAAAGCAACATTCTTGCATTTTGTCCGAAAATACCCTCAAACTGTTTTATTGGGATTTTATTAGATAAACCAGCACACGCTTAGGCAATATAGTGTTGTTAAACCTACATTGTCAATACTTTCTAGGAATTCTCTGTAAGAATTAGAATGGTCCAGGCAAAGTTTAGACCTAACACAGCATAAACTGTTGATCTACACTATTTTAGATGTATTGCCTCTCTAAAGGACTTGTGTTCAAAAGAGCATGAAGCTTTATTGCAGAAAGTCTGGGTTGGGGATATATCCTGTTATTTGCACTGCACAAAAAAATTCAGATGTATAAATTCATGCCTACACCTGTCAATGTACACTTCCCCTTCCTATATCCAAGTTTGCATGGAATTCCTAGCAGCCTTTCAATTGGCCCAAAATACATATACAAATCAGTATAAATGCCTAGAAGGTACCCACAAAGTGTCAAAATAACAATGACTGGTCAGAAAACAGATGCCAATCATCCTACACGGCTGGAGGTCTGCTTTGAAACGTTTCAAAACATTTAACTCTATAGCAACATTCAAACATCAGAGGGTCCGCACCATGAAGCGAGCTCAACCTAGCGGTATGTCTCTGAACCTATCCACTTTAACCAATTATCAACAATGACTATCAGGATCAACGGTACCATAAAGCTGCTTATGAACTTGTTAACTCAATCCAGCTTTGACTGATCATTAATCTGGTGCCATATTTCTACTGTGAGGAATAAAACTAATCTTAAAGAAATATGCAGAAGAAGAAACAACAAGTCTAAATGAAAAGTCAAACACAAGAAAGATGTGAAATAGAGTGACAAAGGATTGCTGACTGTGAAAATGCACAAGTTACACATTAGTGTAATTTAACACAGCAATGCGTCCCATTCAATGCACTGCATATTAATTTTGTGCCCCTTGGGAGGGAAGAGGAATTTGGAGCAGATAAAAATAAAACAAAAATATCATTTAAACTGGTTAGTTGGGCTTTTTAATCCAATAATCAATGGGCTACAACTCCTTCCGTTATATACAAGAAAGAATCAGTCTAAGGAAAATCATCCAGATTTACGCACTGTGTCAGAACTAAGTGGGGGCAAATTGTAAAAAATCTACTCTGCTTTTAAATGTACAGCAATACCTCAAGGTCTTTTCTACTTAAATGAAACTTCATAGTATTTTTGTTTCAGTCACATATTCTCTACGCATTATCAATGTTCCATTTTACAGAAACATTACAGCCTTTATCCTACAGTTTTTTTCTTCTGTGGTTTACCATCGGTGCAGATTCAGTGTAATGTTCACCCTTAATGGAATATATACAGTATATATATATATATATATATATATATATATATATATATATATATATATATATATATATTATTTTGAGGTTCTTGCTTAATCTGAGGGGTGTTTTGTTTTTGTTTTTGTTTTTGTGACATTTTTTTCTGCCAGAAGGTCTCTTAGTCTTTAGTTTTAAAATTAATACTTCTTCATATGTTAAAGTGTGTTCTTCAGTTTTAACCATATAGTGGGTATCTTATATATGCTATTTTGTGAAGGTTTTCCAACAAACCTTCACAAAATAGCATGTTTTATATTGGGACTAAGTAAACTACAAGGACCATCATAAGGCAATTGATTGTGCTGGATTTTATTGAAGGTATTAAAGTAAAGGGGGTTGACAAATAAATAAATAAAACTAATTTGGAGAAACAATTTGCCATTTGTCAAAAAAAAAAAGGCAGACTTTTATACCTTTTTGCTTTCGTAAATAAAACCAACAGCCCTAGAGAAGATTTTTATTTACATAAGCTTTGAAATCACAGCTGCATTAATTGTAATTCAAAGATATTCAACAGATGGCATTCAGGAACTCATATTTAAACATTTATTGATGTGTTTTTAGGTAATTCCACAAGCCAGTGTTGGTGAAGTTCATCATGCCATTCGAACAACCTTCCAAAGGGTGAATGACTTCTTTATCCCTCCGACTAACCTCATTATAACTCATGTGAGGTAAGCCAGCCACAACAATGTATAGTAGTCTTGATTATATTTCTCATTTAGGGCAAAGAACAAAAGCAAATGAGAGTTTTAATAAGAAGTTAGATGTATAATCCGCCCCCATGTACTTTCTCCATATAGGTTTGCATTTGTCTTCCTCAAAAATGAACCAGCGGTCCACAAGATTGATCTGGAGACCTTCCACCGTGTCAAAACCATCAGCCTGAAGAACTATAGCTGCATACCTGAAAGCATGGCCTATACACACCTGAGCGGTTTTTACTTCATTCAGTGTCAGAGCAAGAGTCTTCTGCATTCCCCATCCCAGCTCCTCATCGATAGTGTGACAGACGCTGTTGTTGGTCCAAATCAGAATGTAACAGGTCGGGCTTATGTGTCACCAGACGGTCGCTACATTGTGACACCGGACCCATGGAGCTCCAAGCTGACGGTACAGACAGTGTCATTCCAGGGGGAGCTGAATCTGAACCGAGAGATAGACGAGCCAATTAATGTTTCTGATATGGTTTTCCAGCCTTCTTTCACCGAATCAAACCAACATGTGGTTGTGGCAGTCTCCGGGTCGGGCGCAGATCTTTTGTTTGCTGATCTGTCATCTGGCCACACAGAGGTTCTCCGGAGCCTCAAAGAGCCTCTCTCCCCCCAGGCCTGGCCTTGGGGGGGGCCTAACCGAGTGATAGTCTCCAGTGGGTTGTTCGGACAGTACCTGGTGACACCATCGGTTGAGTCCCTCTTCATCCTGAATGGCAAACAGAGAACACCTCACTGTGAGGTATCAGACATCAAAAGGGCCAACACAGTTGTCTGGGTTGGAGAGGTATGAGTAAAAAAAGAAAGTGGAAACTGTATACTTAGAATTAGAAGCAAAATGAGAAAAGGAAAAATCAGGCCAAATTACCTTTCATTAAGATTGATGTGAACATAAGCTGAAGCCCCAAGGTTGGGACTGAGCTAGAGGGGAAACATACTTGAGTTTGTTCTAACAAAAGTACACCTACAAATAGAGAACATTTGAGAAAATCTGTTGTGATATTGCTATTGGGAGAAAGTGTCAATGCTGTCAGTGCAACAGTGATCTATGTGCACTTAACTATACAGAATTGTACATTATTGCACTTCCTTCCATGTTATCACAGCAAATAGGTACATGAAGAGGCGAAAGTAACAACTATGAACTATGCACAAAACTCACTTTTTTTTAAGAATAAAAAGCTTTCCAGTTTTGTCAATCTCATGTTTGTCGTTTTCACCAGTGCTGCATATAGTCACCACAAAGAGTCTGTCTTGTCTGCCTCTAGTGTGTAGTGTTCTGAGTCTTTTTAAATGCTAACTGCAACATCCGTTCACCTGCCTTTGTCATGGTGTTGTACTGTACTCTCTCTAAAAGCTTTCATTCTTATACTGACAGATGTCGGTTTCATGAATTACGTAATCCCCTCTATTTTTATTGCCAATCCAAAGAGTCCAATTGGTCCATTACTCAACTATGGATATTTCGTTCTCAGAGGACACAAAAAGTACTTTGAGTGACTCTACAATGGTTGAATCGCTTCCCTGGTGTCACTCATGTTTATTTTAAGTCTGAAGCACAGCTCTGATTTCTGAAGCCTAAAAACACCACTTAGCAGATCCCCCTCAGGGTAATGACTCCAGTTTATGCCGAACCATACACAGAGGCCAAGGCAAAGCAGCGTCATTTAGGCTGTTGGATGGGCTGTGAGCATTTGTGCATCCATTCAGAATGGCAAAATAAAAACAAGCTTTATTTAAAGTAGACTCCAATAAAGATGTACAGTGAAAAAGTGTTTGCCCCATACCTGTTTTTGTTTTTTGTATGTCACACTTAATTGTTTCAGAACAACAAGAATAATTTGTATATTATTCAAAGACGCTGTCAATGAACCCACGAGTAATATTTTAAATGACAAGTTTCTTTTATTATAGATAAAAAAAACATGACTGTCTCCTAAACCATAATGGCAGGCCAGATCTCCCTCAATTTGCAATGCATCTTTTACAGTGATGTGGGGTGATTTTGGCCCACCCATTTTTGCAGAGTTGTTGTAACTCATCTACATTGTAGCACTTTCCAGTGTGCTCGCCCCTTTTAAGGTCATGCCCAAGCAACTCATTGAGATTAAGGTCAGGACTCTGACTAGGCAGCTTTCATTTCACTTTTCTGTAGCCATTTATTAGTGGACTCACTTGTGTGTTTTGGACAACTATCTTGCTGAGAAACCAAAGATGGGTTCAGCTTGATTTTACCAATGGATAGCCGGATATTCTCCTTGAGCCTTTTCTGATAGACAGCAGAATTCATGGTTCCATTTATCACAGTATCACAGTACCCGGTTCAATCCCCACAGCCTCTTGGTTCCTGAGCAAAACCCTTAACCCCTGATTGCTCCCCGCGCGACACACAATGGCAGCCAACGGCTCTGCAAGGGGCTGGGTCAAAATGCTGAGCACTTACACTGCCTGGCCAAAAAAAAAAGTCTTAACCCAATTTTAGTAGTTTCTGCAATCTCTTTAGATGTTTTCTCTGCTTGATGCATGCCAATGATTTGACCCTTCTCAAACAGACTAACATCTTTTCCACGACCACGGGATGTGTCTTTCAACATGGTTGTTTAGGAAATGAGAAGCAAGTCATTGCATCAGTTGGGGTTAAATAACTTGTTGCCAGCTGAAAGATAATCACCAATGCAGTAATTATCCAATAGGAGGCTCATAGCTATTTGCTTAGTTGAATGCAGGTGGAGACTTTTTTTTTGGCCAGGCAGTGTATTTCCCCATTGTGGGACAAAAAAGGAAAACATAATGGCTTGTCTAGTGGCTTGGAGACCCAAAGCTTTGTAATCCTTTACATACTGATAGAGCTCTATTACTTTTATTCCTATTTTTTTTATTAAGGTCTTTATGTCTCAGCATTATGTCTAGCTTTGTTAGATCTTTTGATGATTTCACTTTGTCAGGCAACTCCTCTTAAAGTGATTTCCTGATTGTGAACACGAGTGCTCGGAAAAAAAAATTAACTTGGGTGTCATAAACCAAACATTTATCAAACATTTAAAAACTAAATTTGGTGTTTACATGCACTGACTTTGGCAAATACTTAATCTTTTTGAATGTTCTGAAACATTTAAGTGTGAAAAAAACATGCAAAAGAATAAGAAGGCAAAAAGAGATTAACACTTTCACACCATGGTATAGTTCAAATAGACAAAAAAGTCAAAGATGTTAAGTTTATAATCACAAAAAAATAGGTATTAAAAAAGCATTCAATTAAAAACTGAAAGTTTATGTATTGTGTTAATAATGATTGATAGAGACAGGCATAAATGCTTTTGAAAGTGTTGGTTTAAAGTCCTTTTAAGGAGGTACCAACAAAAGCATTGGTAGTGATTTGAGGTTTGTCTCAGAGATTAATGTTATATATTTCAAAATTGACCTTTCTATTATTAAACAAATCTGGCCATGGGTGTATTCAGCCAAAATATCATCTTATATCAGCTTGGTATATGCCTGACACTCTAAAGAGGTATATTTTTCTGTGCAATTAACCCCCTTTCAAAAGGGAAAAAGTTCTCAGGAATTGCCATCCTCTCTGAGCGACGGCTCAAATCAGTTGGATGGGAAACACTATTGTGTCATATGGTGTAGAAAATTCTTACTTGTATCCCTTGAAGAGAAATTTTAATTTGAGGAATAATATTTTAGAAAGGTGATGTCATTTAGTAACTATTTTTTAAGAGATGCTCCTTTCTCAAAGCTGAGTAGCTATTTCAGACAAGGTATACAATTAGAGAAATGCAATTTATACAACACCACTTACCATCATCCTACATGTGCAGCCATGTTTATTATTGTTTGTATTAGTCAAAACTCCTACGAATATATATATGAAAAGCAACTTGATGAACACCAGCAACCCTTTTTGTTAATGAAAACAGTATATTTTCTCTAGTTGAACTGCATCATTTGTGTAGAGTAATTTTGTTTTTTCACTTGCACTAATCATTATAGTGATTAGCTTTTAGCAGCCAGACAGCTTAGCAGATTCTCTGCTGTTGTAATAATGACTTTAACAAGAATGCCTCCCTAAGCACTTCTGCCTCTTGACAGCAGAGCTGTCCTAAAACTCAAAGGTTTAGCTTGGACAACATGCTTGATGACTAAATTGCTGAGGAACAGTATTTTTTGTTTTAAATTATGATAACCATCAGCTGATTCTAGATCAATTTAACACTTGATTAATAAAAGCATTATCTTTGCAATAATATAGCAGCACAGTAATACATTGCATAACACAGACCTAAATGAGCAACACTGCAGACTTCAATTACACTAGCCTTCCACTGCGAACTCACAGTGGAATGCTATATAAACAAAATGCAGTGTGACATCACACATATTTTGTCTTAGCTACAGGAATCCAATCAGCTGGATTGAAAAACTTTAATGCTGACGTGAGAAACAAAAACTAAAACATGATCAAATTTAGCCAACACCCCCATGACCTCTCTTAACATTGTTTTATCAAAGGTTATGTTTTTAATTAAAGAAAACTTTAAGAATGGATCATATTAAATGTATGTGAATGTAAAGAATGTTAAAGAAAAAAAAATCTGCTGAGACACTCAGAGATTTTAATTCCTGGCAGAAAAATGTTTTACGTATTTAACATGTATCTGTTTATAACCTATTATCATCAGCTGCAGCACTTCTGTGGACAATGTTAATTCTCAAGTAATCCAAATCAATTACATAATTTATTAGACTATTTAGGCAAATTTAGTTAGTTCACCTAAACCCACACAATGCCTTAATCTGAAATATATGTAGCTAAAGGGTCAATATAACTGATCTTTCAGATCTTGAAGGCAGCTTACTGCTCAATAGTTTCATAAGTACAAGATATGTCATTTTAAAAACTGTTAAACTCTTTTAGATATTAAAGCTTCTAACGTGTGCATTGGGCATTTGTGCAATCATTCAGCCAAATCTCTGGCAGAAAAAATTATTTGTCATAAAAAAATTAGTTAGAGGCAGAATCAGTGTCCTTTTTATTTATCACAATGCATAAGTCCAGCTATTAGCCTTAACTGCATCAGAAAGATTTTCACTAATTATTCTGTTTATTTAGACATTGGATATTGAACTTTGATAATATTATAGTTCTTTTTAGTACTATAAACCTCATGCATATTGCCAAGTTACAACAACTATTTAGTTTGGATGGTGGGGCAACACAAAGTCATGTATTATTGGTTATAAAGACAATCTAAAAATTGTGTTATGATTTAGTATTAAGCCTTTTTTTTGTAGATATCCCTTAATAAAACATGGTGAAACAATCTGACTTAGAAAAATCCACAAATTATTGAATTGAGTCAATCTGTGTAATCCCAACGGATAAATAAAGTTGAGTGTAAGGAAAATATATTCATAGTTCAGTGATAGCTTCAGGATTTAATTAGACATTTATAAAAGAACACAAATCTGGTTAGCTCCAAGGAACACAACAGACCAGTCATGGAAAAGTATAAAACAGGGGTAGGTTAGAAAATAATATACAGTTTAAATGTCATATGTGGCAATGTTTATTCTGACATCTTTAACTGGAAAAATAAACACAAAGCAATAAATCTACCAAGAAAAGACTGTCTATCAAAACTAATAGGCCAGGCAAGGAGAGCAGCCATCAGTGAAGCAGTCCACAGGCTAAAGTTAACTCTGGAGAAGTACCAGAGTTAATAAATTTCAAGTGTGAGAAACTAATAACAGAACAACTACTAGGAAATAAATCCACACATCTGCAGTTTATAAAAGAAAGAAAAGCAAAGAAAGAAAGTTATTGTCCAAAGATAGTATGTTAGCAGTGTGGTTTGAGTAATCTATTGTTAGAATGATGACATTGAATAAGAATTTCACAATATATATACACTACCATATGTATAGTAGTCATATATGTATATCTGATATTAGCTGCATTATTAAAATGACTATCTGCCCAGATTGCTAGCCTGCATTCAGCTGCTTTACTGACATGCTGCTTGGGATGGGAGATGTTCATTTATTTTTCACACCATGGCAGTTTGTTTTAGTTGCAAAGTTTTTCCAAACATGTTAATCAGTGTTTCTTCTAAGGGAAGAAAAAGTGTAGTCATTTTATATGCCAATTCAAAAAAGTAACAAAAACAAATCCTTATTTTAGGCTACTTAGAATTCCAGAGCAGACATAAAGAGTTATGTGCACCAACTGCCAGCAGTACCACTAGATGCAACAATTAATGCAGCTCCTTAAAGGTATTGTGGAGGATTTTCTCAATTTTTTTAAAAGACCCACCCTGCACGTGCGAGAGCATACACAAGCCCACTTCTCCTCGTGCATGCTCTGTTTAAACGTTGCTATCCTCATAGCTCATACAAGCTTACTGTGTCCGAATGTCCGCCCTAATTCTTAAATCCCTCAATCACTATATAGAGCGGGGACTTTATAGTGAACTCAGTCAACTTATCGTTCGGACAGATGTTCACTTCCCCGTTGGTCCACTGTGCCTGCGCCATCTTTGTTATTAGTCGCTGCTGTCAGGTAGCAGCAGCCTATTGGAAAATATGAGTTGTAAAAACATTCAGATATTTTGTAACTATAACTTCTCATTTATATTTTGCCACAAACCATTCAAGGGATGCTGCAAACATGTAGAAGCTGCTCAGGTTAGAACAGTTTTAACTTCATGTTTAATGTAATCTGGAGCGTATGGCGCCTCTTCCCTATGGCAAGAGAAGGCGTTTACAGCATGCTGTGAGTAAAGCAAAAGAAAGCTGGTCAGAATGGAAAACGACATCGATGGACGTAAATACACTAAAATCCTGGAGAAAAATCTATTAGAGGCTGCAAAAGACTTGTTAAAACCTGAATTTCTTGTCTGCAAAGCTGGTAGAAA